ATTCCTCTTTGTCCTGGTGTCCCGATGGACCCGTGCACAGGTGCTTGTGTAGGATTAGAACCGCGCCCCCGATCAGTAGTGCTGACTGAACTTTCATCCTGCAGACACGGGTGCCAGGGAGTTACGACGTTCTTTTCCTACGTTGCTTTGTCGGGGCCCAGCACGGAGATGTGGACGTCACACACTGTCCTCGTTCTCCTCACACCCTGAGTGTGGACTGAAATCTTGCTAAGCCGTGTTGGCTTTAGGAGCCCGGTCTGGAGTGTGGGGAGGTGCGTGGACCCAGTTCCCCACGGCCGCAGCAGTCTGTTCCTGTGCGCCACCAGCCCCCCCACCCCCGCAGGGGTGATTGAACCGGAGGCACTGTGAGGACAGAGGACGGTAGAGGGGCTCCTCTCCTGAAAGCTCACTCTTCATCCTTGCCACTCTGTTTCAGAGCAAGAAGAAAACTTTGAGTTTATCATCGTGTCCCTCACTGGCCAGACATGGCACTTTGAAGCCACCACCTATGAAGAGCGAGATGCCTGGGTCCAAGCCATCGAGAGCCAGATCCTGGCCAGCTTACAATCTTGTGAGAGCAGCAAGAACAAGGTAAGGCCCCCTGCAGGCCGCCCCGGCCGAGGCTGCCAGTCCCTAGAGGGGGACGGCGACCCAGGAACGGCCCCGGCGGGGGGGCATCAGGTGTGTGTGTGACGAGACCAGGTCATCTTTGAGAGCAGAGAGGTAAGGGGAGGAGACAAGACACTGCCCGTGTGCAGCAGGTGTCGTAAGTCGGGGTCCTCTCCCGACCACGCGCACAGGGCGGGACAGCGAGTGTACACCCGGCTCCCCGCTGATCCCACGTGGACTCCACTCCCCCGGTGCTGTGATGTGGGAATGCTGGGGTTCGCGGTCAGGACATGTTGGTGAGGAGAACCTGCAAACGTGACAAGTAACTGCACAGCCTTCTAAGTAAAGGCGGTTTATTCTCCATTCCCTGCTGCAGGATGTATTTGAATAGAGTGTGTTTATTAAACACTTCCTCCAAAGATGGTTTCATTAGCACCCTAGCCACTTTGTTCAAGAAAGGGTTATATTTCATTCTTTCAAATATAAAAGGCAAGTCCTGCCTAATGAAAATGTTGTATTTTTCTTCAGCTAAGAGGTAGAACAGAAAAGTATTAACTTGCCTTTAAGTTAGTGACATTGGGTCCGATGTAAATATAAGAAAGTAAAACCTCAATTTTTGCATAAAATGCAAGGGAGAAACCACTCATCTTTTCCTGGAGGTGGTGGAATGTTCTGGACTCCTGTGGCTTCCGTGTCCACAGTTACTTTCGTTTGGGGCACAGAGCACTCAGGGATGAGGTCAGGCAGAAACGTGCACTGTCCAGCCTTGTCAATGTCCCGCGTGCCAGTCCGTGGCCAGGTGGGGGACCACCTCCTGTGAGGGGCCTGAATGGAAAGTGGACGAACATATGTGAGCACACAGGGACTTTGGGAAGATAGAATGTGTGTTTTCTAAACTGCTGGGAAAGCCTGCTGTGCGTGTAATTCTATAATTCAAAGTGATTCTCTTGCAATTGCTTAGCCAAAGAAAAGGTTTTAACCTGCATTTTCCTGGCTACTGCCCTGAAATATTCTCTATGCAGAAGTCATTTGTCCCACCCACAATTTCCTCAGTTTCACTGTTTTAATGCTTGGGTGTTTTTAACCTCTTCGGACTCTTCGGAGAGCACTTTGATTTTCAAACTGTGATCCGCAGGAAGGAAGGGAGAGGACATTCTCCACCGGCCCTCAGTCCCACTCGGCACCATTCACAGAAATTTCTGCCGGTGATTTATGTCCGGCTTTGTCATTAAGAAGAGTCTGTCTTTCAGAAAGATAGAGTGTCTTATTTTATTACCCTCTTTAACCAGGGTAAACCAGACCACAGTCATTATTATTATAATGTAATTTGCTTCCCTTTTTTAAAGATGTTTTATACCCAAGGTGGGGAGAACCACTGTCTTTCATTCCGAGCACTCCAGCTTCACTGGGTCACGTCCACACGTAGCCACGGTGTGACTCCCCACGAGAGTGCAAGGTGCTGGGGTCTCCCCCTGGGCGAGCACAAGGCGCTCACTGCAGAGCCGTAGCGGGAGGCGCTGTTCCTGGGGGGCCGTTCTCCAGGTGCCGAGGAAAGTCAGTCTCGTGCCAGATTCGGCATCCGTGCCACCTCCCCCTTACATGGGAGGTCAGGACAGCTCTCCGCTCACCTCGGATCATGCAGATAGCAGCCTTTGAGTGCTGCCCCTGCTCTCATCGACGAGCGGCTCTCGGAGGTGTGCCTGAGAGAAGGCAGGCTCACACCTGGGCCCCTGCACACCTGCGAGCAGGCCTGAGTGGGGGAGGCACAGACCCCAGTGAGCCTGAGCTCTGTGGGGCTTCAGCTGCTTCGGGACGCACCGTTCAGAGTTGGCAGCAGGTGTAGACATTATCAGACCACTGTATGACCAACCAGAGAAGTTACAGAGGTACACAGAGAGACAGACAGACACATCCGTGTATGTGAGTGTGAGTGTGTGTGTGTGTGTGTGTGTGAGAGAGAGAGAGCGTGTGTACGCACGTGTGCTTTCCAGATGCCAATGTGACTTGTTAAACAAGTTTAAATATTTGGATATCCAACCAAAGGGTAAAACCCAGTGATATGCAGTGCCAGTCAGACAGTAGTAATTCATAACCTACACTTCACTCTTAGGTAATAAACAATGAATTGGTTCAATTCATAGGGAATTCTTAAACAGAAATCAAGCTTATTCTAAGTGTCCTCCGAAATTAACCTGTTTTAGCTTTGAGCATAACATTACATGCATCTATAATGAGTAAGCCTTAACATTTTTACACACTGGGTCAGCCAGGTGGCTGGTGGTTAAGGCCGCTGGATCCCACGTGGCCAAATGTGTGGTTCACGTCCCGGACCTGGCGGCTTGTCCGTCAGGGAGAGTGACCCACCAGCCCACCAAGTGGGCATGTACACAAGTGTCCAGAATCCCAAGAGGAGAATGGAAGAGAAGGAATCATGGTGTGGCCATGCCCTGGGAGGTGATTTCTCCTTTCCCTCTCTTTCTGGATCTCTCTGGTGAGTGCATGCGCCCTATAGCAAAAAAACAAAACAAAACAAATTACATCTCTTGTGGGGGGCTCAGGAAAAAAGACTAACAGACAAAAAAATGCCTGTAGATGAAGGAGAGAGTTTATGGAGTGCTAAACCGGAGAGAGGCAGAACCCAACGAATATATATGTCTCAGAAAAACTAGTGAAGCGGAACTCAGAGGTGCACAGCGGCACGTAGTGGCCGTTACCGAAGACGATGAATGTGTAATGCCCTCGGTTTGATCATCACACGCTGCATACATGCTTCGAGAAATCACAGTGTATCTCATAAAGATACGTGGCAATTAAATAAATTATAAATTAAATACGTTTTTTAAATTGTTCATATCCTTTCCCCTAGCACCTTATAACACCCAAGAGTTCATCCTTAGTAAATAACCACAGGAGTGGGAAGACTTAGCAGTCAGCCCGGCTTTCATAGAGCTGCACGTAGACAGAAAAGTACAGCCACCTGAGAGTCTAGTGTGTGTGTGTGTGTGTGTGTGAGAGAGAGAGAGCGTGTGTACGCACGTGTGCTTTCCAGATGCCAATGTGACTTGTTAAACAAGTTTAAATATTTGGATATCCAACCAAAGGGTAAAACCCAGTGATATGCAGTGCCAGTCAGACAGTAGTAATTCATAACCTACACTTCACTCTTAGGTAATAAACAATGAATTGGTTCAATTCATAGGGAATTCTTAAACAGAAATCAAGCTTATTCTAAGTGTCCTCCGAAATTAACCTGTTTTAGCTTTGAGCATAACATTACATGCATCTATAATGAGTAAGCCTTAACATTTTTACACACTGGGTCAGCCAGGTGGCTGGTGGTTAAGGCCGCTGGATCCCACGTGGCCAAATGTGTGGTTCACGTCCCGGACCTGGCGGCTTGTCCGTCAGGGAGAGTGACCCACCAGCCCACCAAGTGGGCATGTACACAAGTGTCCAGAATCCCAAGAGGAGAATGGAAGAGAAGGAATCATGGTGTGGCCATGCCCTGGGAGGTGATTTCTCCTTTCCCTCTCTTTCTGAATCTCTCTGGTGAGTGCATGCGCCCTATAGCAAAAAACAAAACAAAACAAATTACATCTCTTGTGGGGGGCTCAGGAAAAAAGACTAACAGACAAAAAAATGCCTGTAAATGAAGGAGAGAGTTTATGGAGTGCTAAACCGGAGAGAGGCAGAACCCAACGAATATATATGTCTCAGAAAAACTAGTGAAGCGGAACTCAGAGGTGCACAGCGGCACGTAGTGGCCATTACCGAAGATGATGAATGTGTAATGCCCTTGGTTTGATCATCACACGCTGCATACATGCTTCGAGAAATCACAGTGTATCTCATAAAGATACGTGGCAATTAAATAAATTATAAATTAAATACGTTTTTTAAATTGTTCATATCCTTTCCCCTAGCACCTTATAACACCCAAGAGTTCATCCTTAGTAAATAACCACAGGAGTGGGAAGACTTAGCAGTCAGCCCGGCTTTCATAGAGCTGCACGTAGACAGAAAAGTACAGCCACCTGAGAGTCTTGACGGTCACGTGATAAGGAAGTCACCAGTGAGTGGAATACTACGCAGCCATTTAGAATGATGACATCGGAGCACATGCGATGGCATCAGTGGTGTCATTGGGCCACTAAGGCCGACCTCAGCGCATTTTCCGTTATCCTGGCTTTTCCAAGTCCATGCGTGTGCATGTATATGCTTAGGACAAGGCTCGAAGAATAGGTGTCAATGTTGGTTTGGCTGAACTGTGGGTGGTCATATTGCAGTTTATGAAATTTTATGTTCCTTTTCCCTCTTTATTTCCTGAACTTGCTGCCATAGCATGCATATTTAAAAGTCTTTTTTTTTTTGGTAGAGGTTTTTTCGCTATAGGATGCGTGCGCTCGCCAGACAGACAGAGAGAGACGTAGAGACAGAAAGCGAGAAATCACCCCCCAGGGGGGACGGTCACACCGCAATCCCTTCTCCTCCATTCTCCTCCTGGGATCCTGGGCACGCACGCACACGCGCCCGGCGTGAGTTCTAACCCACTGGGAGCAGGACGCGAACCGCGGTCAACTACGTGGGAGTCCAGCAACATAGCCATTACGCTAACTGCTGGTTCCCTAAAAGTCTTTTTTTAAAAGGCCATAAAGAATAAGTTTAAGCCCCCCGCTAGCCTCATAGCCCCCACCCCCATTCTGGGTGGTGACTTTGTTGCTGTAGCATCCAGGATAGTCTTCGAATAAAGAGTGGTTCTCCCAGCCACACGTGTGCTGTGGGCGGTGGTGACGAGGCGCCGTGACCCTGGGCTTACAGCCAGGACCCTGGGTGATTCTTTCTCACTCTGACCTTCGAACCAGGCAGACACGCCACGGTCAGCAGTCCCCGGTGGTGTGGAATGAGGCTCCCTCCATCACCCCCTTTCCTAAAGGCCCCAGAAGAGAACGGTTTCAGAGTTACCCTCGTCCTGTAGTAGCCCCGATCTGTTGGATCATCCCTGGCTGCTTTTGGTTTGTTTCCATGTTTAGTTTTTGTTACAAGGGCGTGTACACTCACCAGAGAGAGAGGGAGAGCGAGAAATCATCCCCAGTGGGGATGGCCACGCCACAGTCCTCCCGTTTCCTCTTGGGATTTTGGGCATGTGTGCCCAGTGTGATTTTCAAGCCACCGGATCTGGGACTTGAACCACACAGGGGGCCATACGGGTGGCATCCAGTGCTTTAACCTCCCTGCCGCCTGCTGGTCCACCCTGTGTTCTTAGCAGCTGTGGAAACTGTGCCAGGGTCCTTACGTCTTGCTTCTGTCTCTCTCCTCCATGCCCAGTCCCGGCTGACCAGCCAGAGCGAGGCCATGGCCCTGCAGTCGATCCGGAACATTCGCGGGAACTCCCACTGCGTGGACTGCGAGACCCAGAGTGAGTGGGGCAGGAGTGGGCTCTGGCACTCTGGTGGCATGGTGGCTGGGCTCACGTCCTGTCTGCCAGAGGATGGGGTAATGGTTGGCGGCCGTGAAGAACTGAGCTGTCAGTTCAGGTTTTGTTTCTTGATGCAGTGCTGCTCACGCGAGGGCCCTGCTGGCTACAGGCCGACCTGTCATCATCACTCCTGAGCCCCCGGGCGTGTCGCCCATGCCTCGGGCATCCCCAGGAACTTCCTACTCCCCATCCTATGCCTGACCCAAAGAAGGCCTTTCATTGAGTCAGTAGTCACTCGTGTAGTTGTTGTTTTCTTTAAAAAAAGTGTCAAACCAATTCATTCCTACCCAAAGAGTCGGGTTTTTGTTGTTCAGTTTCAAAATCATATGTGCTGGGGTTTGCCATCAAATGACGCCTTTTTTTTTTTTTTATCTTAAATTCAATACACACCAAAGCATTCGATTAAACTGACAGGGCTGGAACGTCAGCCTCGCGCCTCGCGGTAATGCGGCTCTCCTCCCTGCTTCCTGTTGTCCGGCAGCAAGAGCTTCCTTTTGAGAAAGCCGTTTTGTCGTTTACGTCCTTGGAGGTGGGGACTTGTTTCCAGGCCCTGACTCCCAGCCCAGGCAGTGCTGGGGACACTCTGAGTGTCTGTACTCGTGCTCTGCTGCTGTGTTGGGAAGAGAAGGAACTCCTGCTGGCAGTGGCACCAGCTGGGGCTCTGCTCGGCAGGACGTGGTTGGCGGTGGCCTCCTGGGGCCCAGAGCCCTGTGGGCTGGGGGAGCCCAGTGACCCCCAGGATACAGGGAGAAGGACTACTGGGCAAGCAGGATCTTCGTGACTCAAAGCAGACGTTGCGCGGGGCTCTGGCATTGGCAGATCTGAGCAGGCAGAGGGTGGAAGGTGGAAGGAGTCCTTGAGGGGGAAGGCCCACAGGGAAGGAGTTGGCTGGGTGTGTTTAGGGTCCGAGCAGCTGCTCAGACAGAGGACAGGCAAAGCCAGGGGGCGCCTCGGCGCTGACTGGAACACCTCCTTGCTCCACCTCCTTCAGTGGAGGGGTCCAGCCGGGGAACCGGGCAGATGGACATGGGTGGGCCTTTTCAGACAAACACAGACGAGGAGCAGGAGACCCAGGGTGCACTGTGGTTCCTCAGCCTGAGGAAAGGGGGCGCTAGCCTGGGGCTGCTGTAGGCAGAAGGGCAGGGAGGGCCTGGCATGGTTGGCAGGGAGGGGGGCGGCAGAGTCGCTCCTGGGTGAGGGAAGGGGTTTCCTCTTTGTTTCTTGAAGTCCTTCTTCAAGTGTCTGTTTTAATATTTAAATTTTACTTTCAAAACGTGGTAAAATGGAGTTCAAGAGAAGCAGTTTGTGTTGTCATCAAAACGTTTTTAAAGTAAAGCCTTTTGTTCTTTTATTTTTAAATTTTGCAGTAGGACTGTGTGCTCTGCAGAGCACGACGCACGGGAGGGTGTAGGGAAAAAAAAGCCCTCCTCCCGGGGCAGGGTTGCCTCCAGCCTCTTCACCATGTCTCCCTCTTGTCAGGGTTCTGGACGTGCATGAGTACGTGCCCGATGCTTCTCGATCCGGTGGGTCTGGGACTCACACCGTGTGGCTGTCCGTGCGGGATCCAGCCACGTTAAGCACCATGCCACCGCTGGCCCAGTACTTTTCTCTAAAAGCACAAAATCTGGGGATATTACAACAGCCACTGAGGGAAGCATCCACAGTCGTTTTCACTTCCATCTGGAGGTTCCAGTAAATGGACCGAGGCCGTGGCCTGCAGGACCATGGGATATGGCAGATCGGAGGTGACAGGGCCTTTCTGAGGTCAGTGCCAGTGAGAGGAGGGCAGGTGGGGGAGTGGGGGCGGGCTGCAGGGCAGGTGTCTGGAGAACCCACCTGCACAGGTAGACAGGGACAGCGGACAAGGCAGAGTCTGACGGTTCAGGAGGAGGAAGAGCTGGCAAACGTCTTCTGTCTGTGAATCCCCGTCTGTGTCAGCCTCGTGCCCGATGCTCGTGGTGCCATCTGCTTTCATTCTTGAACTCTAAGAGTTGGTGCTGCAATGGGCCCCATTTATATTTCTTTTTTTCTTTTCTTTTTTCTTTTTTTAGGTTTTTGCCATAGGGCACATGCACTCTCCAGAGAGCAACAGCAAGAGGGAAAGTTAGGAAACTCTGCGGGGGGCGGGGGGGTGGCCATGTGCAATCCCTTCCCCTTCAGTCTCCTCTCGGGATTCTGGGCACACATATGCACGCGCTTGGCATGATTTTTAAGCCATGAGTTCCAGGACTCAAACCGTGGTCAGCACCTTGACCTCCACACCACCTGCTCAACCCTATGTGGGCCCCGTTCCTTCCCCAGGGCAGGAAACGAAGAGTCTCAAGGGGCAAGTCCTTCATCCAAGTTCACAAAAACAGCAAACCGAAACACACTTTTTCAGACCAAAGACCTTGGAAGGATGGGAAGGGCTGAGATCAAGGACACAGATAGGCAGCACATGGGCACAGCCTCAAGTGAAAACACGCAGCTCTGGGGAAGGTGCTGGGAAGCCTGGTCCCTGCACAGATGGGGAAGTGGAGACACCTCAGAGGACAATCTGGAAATGTCTGCAAAAGCCTTGAAAGAGTGGACACCTTTGACTCCATCGCTAGCGAGATGAGCAAGGCGGGTCAGAGGTCTCACCCTGAAGACGTTCGTCACCGTGCTGTTTACGTGGCAAAAGTCAGAACCATCCGCAATGTCGGCGAGTGCTCGAGCGGTGAAGGGTGATGTTTCCCAGTGTGATCACGTGCTACTCTAGGAATTAAGGCATGT